GTCTGTGTCCACATTTCTCTTTTTTATTAGGACACCAGTCATACTGAATAAGGATCCACTCTAATTGCCTCATTTTAACTTGATTGCCTCTGTAAAGGCCTGTTTCCAAATAAGGTCATATTCTGAGATACTGGGGGTTAGGACTTCAACATATCTTTTTTGGGGGACACTATTCAACACATAACAGATGTCAAAGAGAACAAAAGGCATATAATACAAGGCAAGGTTCTCTGCCCTACACTTCCCCACCTCTATACTCATTTTAAATGTTTCAGGTTTAAGTTCTTGTTGTAGTTTGCTTCTTTCTAAATACTATGCTTATATCTATATCAACTTTTTAAATGTAGTTTTAAAATGTAGACATTGTCTGCTATGGTAGATGAGATTATAGTTCACTCATTCCTTCCTCTTTTTATGTTTATATTTTTAACCTTGGGTTATGGAAATTGATCAAACCTATACAAGAGTACAGAAAACAGTATAATAAACCCCATGTGCTCATTACTGAACTTTACCAGTTACCAACTTGTGGCAAATTTTATCTTTCCTTACCAGTTTCCCTTCTCCTTTTAATATATAGATATACTATATCACTATTTTTAGGTTTTCTGCTGGTTACTTTTTTATCTTTAAATAATATTCCTAAACTTGTGTTTCTCTTTCCATGAACTGGGGACAACTATTGACTTTTCACATTGTAATGAGGATATTAATGTGCCTATACTTCATTCCACCTCTCTTTTTGCCCTTCTTCTTTTAACTTTCTGCCAACTGTTGGTTTCAGGTCAGGTTCCCAGGGAAGCAGACTCTAAAATGGAGATTAATGTGCAGGAAGTTTTTTCGGGAGTGCTCTTAGGATCAACACTTGTGGAAGGGAAAGAGAGGGTAGGGAAGGGGAAGGAAGGGGAAGGGAGGGGAGGGAAGGTAAGAGATCGGGATTAGGCAGATAGGGAAGGTGGGCTGTGGTATAGTCTCAAAGAAGGCTTCATCCTACTCCAAAGGGAGTTCTGAAGCTGGAATGGACCTGTGGAAGTGTCCTAAGTTGGGGTGAGGAGCTTGACCTTTCTACCTTTAAGTTGAATCATAGAAGGTGGGCTTCCTGAAAACAGATGTGACATTGGTAGAGGTGACTGTCTTAATCCGAGGCAATCTCTGAGGAGGGCTAACAGCGGCTAACAGCTCTGAAGCCACCCAGGAAAATAAAATTTTTTATCTTGAAGGGAGATCTGAGTAGTGCATCACGGCACCATCATTGCTGTTTTTGTACTTTCTCATTGTTCACTGTTCTTTAACCATACTTACGTCTTCTAGATTTTGTTATAGATGATTCTCAAAGTTGAAAATCAAACTGTGTTTGCAATATTACGACTATGTAATAGCATTCATTACATTGTAGGGCTGGGATTCCATTTCCATTTTTGTAGTTACAATGTCATAAACCCCATATTGCTCAAATTAAGATGTTCAAATAGAGGGTTTAATACCCTTTACTTTATGTCCCAAATCTTGCCATGTTTTACTTAGCTTCATATTAAACATGTATTTCTTTTTTATAGTTTTTGTTTTTTCCTTCAATTTCTGATTGCATTACTTATTATACATGGGAGAAGAAACATATGCCTTCTGGGGCCGGCCTGTGGCTCACTCGGGAGAGTGCGGTGCTGATAACACCAAGGCCACGGGTTTGGATCCCATATAGGGATGGCCGGTTGGCTCATTGGGTGAGCGTGGTGCTGACAACACCAAGTCAAGGGTTAAGATCCCCTTACCGGTCATCTTTAAAAAAAAAAAAGAAAAAAAAAGAAACATATGCCTTCTTTACCATAGTCCTAATAACTTTTTGCTTCTTATTCTACTTATTTCTTGGAAACCATCCTATTCTTATTAAAGTACATGACCTTCCTGTTCTAATTTGGACAGAGACTTTTGTTTGTTTTGTTGTTTTGTTTTAGACATTTTATACTTTTAGCATATACTTCAGTTCTTTGTCTCAGTTATACTATTGTATTAGTCCATTTATGTTGCTTATATCTGAATACCTGAAACTGGGTAATTTCTAAAGAAATTAAATTTATTTTGTACAGTTCTGGAGGCTCAGAAGTCCACAGTCTAGGGAGCATATCTGGTGAGGGCCTTCTTCTGGGTGGGAACTCTCTACAGGGTCCCATTGTGGCCAGGTTATCACATGGTGAGAATGGCCTGAGCAAGATAGAGCTAACATTCTCATTCACTCTTCTTATAAAGCATCAGAGCCACGCCCATGACAACCCATTTAATCATCAAACCATTACTCCATGAATGGAGCAATCCATTCATGAGGGCACAGTCCTTATGATCCAATCACTTCTTAAAGGCCCCACCTTTCAAATACCATAATTGGATTTCCCGTCTTCTTAACAATGTTACAATGGAGATCATGTTTCCAATACATGACCTTTTGGGGGACATATTTGACCCATAGTACCCATAGCACTTACCTATTAAATGAAATCCCTTTATTTCCTGTAGATCTTTTTTCCAGATCCTCTAACCTTTTATTTCAATCTGCACTAGTTACTGTAGGCCTGCTGAACAGTTATCATGCTGGAGAGTTTTCTGGTTTTATATGTTGTGTATGTTTGTGTGTGTATTATTGGTGGTGATGGTAGTGATGGTGGTATATTTCCATACTTCCTTGAGTTTCTAGAGTACATCCTCAAGTAACCTCCTATGACAGTGTTGAATAGGAGGTAAGTTTTTGAATTCTTGCATATCTGAAAATGTCTTAATTCTATTCTTATCCTTGTTTGACAGTTTGGCTATGTATAGAAATTTAAGCTGAAATTTCATATAATTGTTTTAATCTTTGGAAGCTTTATGATCTTTCCTTATCCTTGATATTTCTGAACTTTCACAAAGCTGTGCATAAGCTTGGGTATATTTTCATTGATTGTGCTGGGTACCCAGTAAACAATTCCAGTCTGAACTCAAGTTTTTCTTTAGCTCTAATTTTTTCAACAGATGTTTAATAATTTCCTCCCCTGTATTTTGTTTTATTTTTATAACTTAATAAAATGTTGGTCTTGCTAATTGATTCTTATATTTTGCTTCATGTTTTCTATATTTTGTTTTACCTATTTTATTGAGGCATAACTTACATACAGTAAAGTACACATTCTCAGGAACATAGCTTAATTTTTACATATGTACACACTCATGTAAACTGTACTCTGATCAAGTATTAGAACATTTACAGCACCCCTTTGGACTTCCTCATGCCCTTCTCCTAGTGAGTACCTTCCACAAAATTCCTTCCCCCAAAGTATCTTCCATAAAAGTATTCTAGCCTGTGTCACTGTAGATCAATTCTGCTGTTCTAGAACTTCATATAAATGTAATTGCACACTATGTACTTTTAAATTTCTGACTTCTTTCAATCAATATTATATTTTTGTAATTCACCTATGTTGTATGTATCAGTAGTTTGTTTCTTTTGCTGCATTGTACTCTATTTTGTGATTATAACACAGTTTATTCAAATTATTATATGCTGTTGGAGGACATTTGGGTTGCTTCCAGTTTGGGGCTATTGTGCATAATGCTACTATGAATATTTTTGTATATGTTTTTTGGTGGCTGTAAGTACTCATATCTGTTGGGTATCAGCACTGGAGTAGAATGCGGGGTCGTTGAGTAGGCACATGTTTATCTTTGGCTTTGATAGATACTGTCACAAAGTTTTCCAAGATGGTTATACCAATTTACAATCCTCCAGGCAATGTATGAGAGTTTGAATCACTCCACATTCTTTCCAGCAGTTGGTGTTGTCCTTTCCTGTATTTTTGCTGTACATTTTAAAAATTGCTCTGAACTTGAATTTTTTAAATTCTTTTACTTAATTTTTAATTTTGAAATCATAGTTTTATTCCTAAGTGATCTTTCATGTTCACTACTGTAACTATTTCATAGTTACCTGTTTTGTTTTGTTTTGTTTTATAGAATCAATATCTTTTCAGACCTTTCTTAGGATATTAAGAAAAGGTATTTTTTGTTGTTGTTCATTTATTAGTTGTTCTTTTATGTCCCATTAATTATCTCTTTTTTCTAGGGTCAGCTTTGCTGTTTGTTTTTCTTGTTTCTCTGTCATCTTGTAGACTATCCTCAATCGTTTGGTCTTTCTTTGTCATCTGATTACACTTAAGAATGAGGCTGACTGGCAGCTCTGTGTACATGGGTAGGACTCATGGATTGGCAGGGTTTGTTTTAAGATGAAGAGGCAGTGTGCTGATAGTTTTGTTGGAGGCCCTCTTAAATGTCATAACATGGAGATAGGTTTTTTTTATTTGTTTGTTTGTTTGGTGGTTCCAACACCCATTCCACCTTTCCTAGTCTATCCCAGGTAATTTATTCTATTTCTTTAGAAAATAATTTTTCTTTTTTACTTCTTGGGTTAAATACTGGTTCTGGAGCCGTCTGGGGGAGATTAGCATCCATATAGAACAATTCAATTAATTTCTCTGGTTTAAGTCCTATTTCTCATTCTTGTCCTCTGTCATACTTGATATCTCTGTGTCAGGAGACCGTCTAGGCTAAGTTTATTCTGTCCTTAGCACAAGTCCCCTTTGCAGGTATTATCAGTCTCTACTGTGGCAACTTTCAGAAATTTGGTGGAATTTATAATCCATTGAATTTCCCTTCTCATTTTTTTTTTTTTTTTTTTTTTGGCTTTGTAAATTGAGGTGAAATTTACATGACATAATATTAACCATTTTAAAGTGTACAATTCTGTGGCATTTAGTGCCTTTGCAATGTTGTGTAATCACTACTGCTATCTAGTTCCAAAACATTTTAATTACCCCCAAAAGCCACCCAGTACCCATTAACCAGTTGCTCCCCATCCCCTTCTTCCTTCCCCTGGCAGCCGCCAATCTGTATTCTGTCTCTATAGATTTATCTATTCTGAATATTTTATATAAATGGAATCATACAATATGTGACTTTTTGCGTCTGGCTTCTTTCAGTTAGCATGATGTTTTCAAGATCCACCCACGTCATAGTGTGTATCACTGCTTCATTCCTTTTTATGGGTAAGTAATATTCCATTGTATGGGTATACCACAATTTGTTTATCCATTCATCCACTGATGGACATATTTTTTTCCAACTTTTGGCTGTTATGAACATGAATGAACAGGTACTTTTTTGATTATCTGTTTTCTATTCCTCTGAGTATATACCAAAGAGTGGAACTGCTGGGTCATGTGGTAATTCTATGTTTAACTTTTTGAGGAACTGAAAAACTGTTTTTTACAGCAGATGAATCATTTTACACTCCCATCAGCAAGGCATGAGGTTTCCAATTTCTCCATATCCTCATCAACACTTGTCATTTTCAGTTATTTTTCTTATAGCCCTCCTAGTGGTTGTAAAGTGCTACCTCATTGTGGTTTTGATTTGCATTGACCTAATAACTAATGATTTTGAACATCTTCTCCCATTCTTTCTTGCTCTCAGGTTATATTATTTTTGTTCTTTCATGATTATTTTAAAGGCAGTAAAAGATGTGGTGAACACAGAGCTGTGCCACCGAAACTTCTTCTCAGTGAAGGCTTTATTTGCCCCAGCTGCTGGGAGGGCTGTGGAAAAACAGCCTTCTGCTGTTCACGCCATCAGAAATTGCCTCATCTGCAGAGAGCAACCTTGCCTAAGATTTTACCCCTTCCTAGGGTAGCCACGTTCAGCGACTTAAAAAGGTGACATATAAATGTCTGGCTATCCCAGCCTAACTCAGGACAACTCTGAAGGGTTGTTGTGACTCCAGATTGCCCCGTGAAGTCAGCCAAGGCCTGTATCACAGATCAACTGATCTCTCTGTCCACACTTGCTCCCTTCCCATCCTTTCTACAAGTATCTCTCCCAAAGGAATTCCATAACAAACATCCTGCATGCTTATTTCTGTTTCAGACTTAGCTTGCTGATGAACTCAGCTCACAACAAGAGACAGTAAATGCATGCATGTGTTCATTAACTTGAAGTGGAAGGAAACCAATCATTAATTCTTTAATATTCCAGAAATATATTTAATATTTGCTTTATAAATTTTACATAGAAAAATTGGGATTGTTTTTTTTTGATATCCCTCTTAAATATCATGTAGGCACTGAGCTACAGAGGGGTGCCAATCTTGAGACATTAGGTTTGGAATCAGAGCCCTGATTTTATGATGCTCTTAGCTAAATAGTTTTTAGTGAAATTAGGCTACTTCCTTAAAAACTGCTCAATTAAATTGAAGCTACTGTGTAAATGCAGCTGATATTTAGGAGGGTGTCTCACATTGTGGTCTGTTGGAATGTTTAAGTACTTTGAAAATATATCAGCTTTGACATTTCAGTAGTGGAAATCGTTCAAGGCTAGTGTATGTACAGCCAAGCCGGGCCACTTTCTATTCCTTAATTGGACTATGTGTCAGTCTTTGGCTTTAACTTTCATTTCTTCTGCATCAACACCTCCATCCACTTCTGCATTTGTCTTTCAAGTTCCTCTGCAAGTTCGGTCTCAGCTGTGTCTCTGTCTTCAATTGAACTATGGCCATAATCAAAGAACAGATTAAGGTAATATTCTTGTTCCTTGAATAGCCCCCCACTCCGCCCCTGGGCCTGTATGGGTGGTTGCTCAGGAAACGTTTGCCAATTTGAAACAAGTCCACAAAACAACTGCAGATATTTTTAGAGGCAGAAACTGTGTGTGACTTTTGCCTCATTTCCTTCTTTGGTCAACCGTGAAGTTTGTTGAATTGTTACTTTTTTTATTAATAGCATTTTGATAAAAACAAGTATAATTAGGTCCTTAGTTCACAAACTCATAAGTACCACCTATTGTAATGAGAAAGTATTACAGGTAACAAGGAAAGATGAAATAAGGTTAAGAGCAACTTCCTAAACGTCCAAAGGTGTCCTTGTTGACATTCAGAGTTTCCTGAATCATCAAGGCCGTCATTTTGGGAGAGAAAGAACAAGATCCTGGCAGCTATCAATCAGTACAGGGCAAATGTCATGATGACAAGTGTTGGGTTGAGGCAATAGCTTTGCCAGTTGTATGGCTAGGCTGTTGTATTGCTAAAGCAATTCATAACAAAAGCCAAAACGTTTCATTGTTTTAGTTACACTAAGTTTCCATTTGTATTGTCGGGGCTACAGCCCACAGACTCCTCAAGCCTGTTGTGCATACTGGGTCACCAGACCCCTCACATGCCAGGCTGAGTTGCCAGATCCCTCACACGCAGGTCCACAAGCTAGGTAATTGGGAAAGGTCCCAGGAGCCATTGGCAGATGACACAAGCTCAGTCCTCAGCAGCAGCAGCAGCAGCAGCAGCAGGAGCAGCAGCAGCAGCAGCAGCAGCAGGAGCAGCAGCAGCAGCAGCAGCAGCAGGAGCAGCAGCAGCAGCAGCAGCAGCAGGAGCAGCAGCAGCAGCAGCAGCAGCAGGAGCAGCAGCAGCAGCAGCAGCAGCAGGAGCAGCAGCAGCAGCAGCAGCAGCAGGAGCAGCAGCAGCAGCAGCAGCAGCAGGAGCAGCAGCAGCAGCAGCAGCAGCAGGAGCAGCAGCAGCAGCAGCAGCAGCAGGAGCAGCAGCAGCAGCAGCAGCAGCAGGAGCAGCAGCAGCAGCAGCAGCAGCAGCAGCTTACAGCAGCCTCCAACAGCAGTGGCCTCCCGGAGGCCATAGCAGCAACAGCCTCCAGCAGCAGTAGTGATGGCTTCCCCGTGGACCTCCTGGAGGCATCCTGGGGCCAGGGGCCACCATAGAACAGAGCCCCTTGTCCTTTATACTTAAGTCCATAACCCAGGACATCTGGGTTCCCATATGCAATTACATTAGATAATAACCAAGGAACACCTAGGTGCACGTGCATATTTACATCAAATGCTCAGCAAGACTCTGAAAATCTGAGGGTCCCTGACCATTTTCCTATATTTTCCGAACAACAAGATACAGCTGAAGTGCCTCTGAGGCCTGGCAGCTTGGGCCCTTGACTGGGGCTGGCCCACCCTGAAGGAAACAGCAAAGCAGGTGCAACAGCAATGGCAGCAAGCCACATGCCACAACCATGCTCTGACTACCACCTGAGAAGGCACGCTTCTCCTGGACAGCCACTCTCCTCCTCCATTTCCTGGCTGTGTGTCCTTGATACTGTAATTTAGCTTCTAAGTTTTATAGATCTGTAAAATGGGAATGATAGTAGCATCTAGCACATAGTGTTGTGAGGAGGAAATGCTTTTAGTTTAGCATGTTGCCTGGGGCAAAGGAAGTGCCTGATAACAATACTAATATTTCTGCATTCGTGCTGGCAAAAAAATATCTCCAATCTGCCTTTCATTGTGCTAGGTTATCTTATTGGGAGGTTCGGGGTTATTCAAAGATGGAAGGCCCAGTTTTGCAGAGGCTAGCAGTCTGGTAGAGAGAGCACTTGTGATGTCCTTTCCGACCTTCAGCCCAAGGTGGACAGTGAATGATTGTTGCCGCAGGAGTTATGACTCTCAGTCCTTCCATCTCCTGCCTCCTCTCCCCAGCTCCTCTCCCAGCGCCAGCCACCCTGGCCTCTCTGCCAGTCCGACTTGCTCTCCACAATTGCTGCTCCCTCTGCGTGGAGCACCCTCCTTGCAGACAACTCGTTTTTCTAAGTTTTTGTTCAAATGTCACTTTATTAGTGAGGCTCTGCCTGGCCACACCATGGAAAATGAAAGGCATCCTCCTCCACCGCTTTATTTTTCTTCAGACTGGGTATGCCCACAGACATTCTATATGTGTATTTGTTTAGCGAGGACTGAGAACTCCAGCACTGCCAACAGTAGATGGTGTACATACTTGCGGTACCTAATAAGTATCTGTTGAACAAATGAATAGGAAAAGTAGTCCTTTTAGATAGAGGAGGGGGGTTCTCAAAGGGCCTCATCGAAGAACAGCGTTTGGGGGGGGACTATAAGGAAAAGTGAGTTTTATAGAGTTGAGGGACAAGCAGGGCTTCCAGGTGAAAGGCATAGCACAAGCAAAGGCAGAGAAGGGAAACTGCTAGTAAGGGAAGTGTTTGGGTGGCAAAAACTTGGAAACACCTACGAAGACCTGGAGGTAGCTTTCCACCGAGGGAGGTGCCGCGGGCCAACGGGTGTGCCAGGCTTTCGGGCAGCTGGGCGGCTCCGCCAGCTGTGGCCCTGATCACGCGCACGAACCACGCGCCGCCAGGCCCCGCCCCTGAGGGGGGTGGGCGGGACGGGGAAGCATGCGCAGGCGCACTGGCCCTCCGGCCGGCGCCCAGGCCTATGGGCCGGAGGCCCTGTCACGCAGTCTTCACTAGTTCCAGACGCGGTGGCGGCTGCTCTTTCTGCCGCTCGGTCCTCCTGCCGCAGCCTGTCACCGCCGCTCCGGAGCGGCTGCGCTGAAGCAGAAATGCCGCCGCCGCCCGGCCGGGATCTGCTTTGGCTCGGCCTAGTCCTGGGTTCCGTCTGCGCCGCCCTGCAGTCCGCGGCGCAGGCCAGCTCCGCCACAGGTGCCTCCCGTGCCCTCGCCCGGATGGCGGGGTCCCCTTCCTCCCTCCCACCACCCCTCCGTTCTTTCCTACTTGCCTGCCTACATCCATCCTTTCCTCCCTCGCTGTCTCTCTCCTACTGTTCCTTTTTTCCATTCGTCCATCTTTCCTTCCCTCTCTTCATTTTTCACTCTGTCCTTCCAACCGTCCATCCTTCCTTTCTTCCTTCCTTCCTGCCTTCTGTTCATCTCTCCCTCCCTCCCTCCATCCCTCCTTCCTTCCCTCCATCTTTTCATTCTTCCAGCAATCCGTCCTTCATTTTCTATTCCTCCATCCCTCTGTCCATCCTACCAGTTGTCCATCCCTCCTTCCCTCCATCCTTCTAACCTTTTACCTTCTATCCGTCCATCCTTCCCTTTTTCTTTCATCCATCTGTTCCCATTCTTTCCTTCCTTTATCCATTTATCTTTCCCTTTCTCTCTTCCTCCATCCATTCTTCTCTATCTTCCTAAATTCTTTCCTTTCCTCCATCCTTCCCTACCTTGTTCCCTCCCAAATCTAGGCTTTAGGTCATGGCCAAAGACTAAACTTGCCACCCAGGACTTAGGCTTCCTCTTTGCACCTCACTCCAACCCTTGCGGAGGTACAGCCCAGGTGGCCACCTCCTTGGCTTGGCTGTCAAGAGAGAGGGGAAAGCCTTAGACCTCTCAGTACCTTAGCATCTATTAGGGGGAGAGGTTCAATGTCAGTGCCGGTAACCTCACTGAAGCCCCTCTCTCCTGTGTAGATCCTCTGAATGTCCTTCTCATCATCGTGGATGATCTGCGCCCTACCTTGGGCTGTTATGGGGATAAGCTAGTGAGGTCTCCTAATATTGACCAGCTGGCATCCCACAGCCTCGTCTTCCAGAATGCCTTTGCCCAGGTATGTCTGGGGACTTCTAAGCAAGGGTATGTGCCTCCTCGTGCACTGAGGGTTGAGGTCGCCTTCAGCTTTGTAGATAGTGCTGATTGTGCCAGGCATCTCTTCGTTAGAGGGGAGCATAGTCTGGCAAATGCAGGTTGAGAAAATCCAGTTGTCCACTCACGAGGAAGTTTGTGCCTTCAAGGGCGCCCCTCATCTTTGTGTAGACGGTGTGCCCTGGCCCTAATGTGCTCAGTTCAGGCCTGGCCAGCTTTCCCTCAGAAAGGGGGATTGTGTGGGCTGCTGCAAAATGCCACCCTCAGGTCTGCTGACTAGGTCCTGGGCAAAGGCCAACCAGCTAGCAATGGTGGCCCTCCTTCCTGAGGCCCCTTATGGGGCTGCCCCCAAAATGGTGCCTGCTCTATGCGCCTAGGGCACCACCAAGTAGGAGGGTACAAATACCTGCTGGGAAGACTTGTCTGTGGCACATGGGTGAGGCCCACATCCCACTGGTTGGCTGTGAGATCTGCATGACTCAACTGCCGGGCTGTTTGCCAAGGACCTTGGGAGGTTGCTTGATTACCTTAGAGTTGACAGACACGCTCTGCTGTCAGGACATTTACCTCTGCTTCTGCTCCCTAACAGCAAGCAGTGTGTGCCCCCAGCCGTGTGTCCTTCCTCACCGGGAGGAGACCCGACACCACCCGCCTGTATGACTTCAACTCCTACTGGAGGGTGCATGCTGGAAACTTCTCCACCATCCCCCAGTACTTCAAGGAGAATGGCTACGTGACCATGTCGGTTGGAAAAGTCTTTCACCCTGGTACTGCTCAATTTTCAAAGACTGGGTTCTCTTGTTTTGGGCCCAAGTACAGGAATACCGTCCCGGGGTCGGGACTGTCTTAGCAAATGTCTCTTCTGGCTCTGACAGACACCTCGTTATTCATTGCTGCCTTTCTGAAAAACTACTTCTCTGGTTGGCTTCATGTTCTTACCCAAAGTGAAAAAGGATGGAAAGAGTTTTGCTTCCTTTGAGAAACCACTGGTGCTGTTTGGTTCCCTTGCCTCCTTGGGTGGTAGGAAGAGCACTGGCTGGGCAGATAGCAGTGTTGGATGTGAGTCTAGCTCTGGCCTGACCCTCTGCCCTGTAAGGTCCCTGTCGGTAAAGTCTGGGGTTGGATGAGAACCTCTGAGACCATCCAATGTGTCCAGTGCTGCTGTTGCTGACGTGTCGTCCAGTGAAGGGGCTGTAGTTAGGTGGGGACTGCTGCCTGCTCTCTGGGAATTAGGTCAGAAAGCAGAATGTAAGCTGGTACCCAGGGCTTGTAGGGTGCCAGGGACTGCCAGTCCTGACCTTGAACACTGTCTGATAAACTGCTTCTCTTTAATGACAGAATGGGAATGTCGAAGCCCAGAGCACTTTAAAAACTTTTTTTTAATTGTAGAAGTAATAAATAATTATTTGACAAAAAATGGATAAAAAAGAAAACACAAACTAAAGAATATTAATCACTTGTATTTCCACCACCTCGCAGAGAGCTGTATTTTTATGTTCCCCCTTTTCTAGGCATACTATTTTTCTCCTTTGAGATTATCCTGTATGTATATTTTTATATCTGGAATTTTTGTAAACAACAATTTTCCCTTAATGTTACTCTTCGTAAAATGCCATTTTTTTTTCTTTTTTGTCTTTTTTACTGACCGGTAACGAGATTGCAACCCTCGGTGTCACGGTCCGGCAACGGGATCACAACCCTCGGTGTTGCGCCCGCACCGCGCTCAGCCAGTGAGCGGGAACTGGTCTCCACATGGGATCCAAACCCTCGGCGGGAGCGCCGTCGTGCTCCCAAGTGGCGCACTCTCCAGTGCGCCACTGGGCCGGCCCTAAAATGCCATTTTTAATGAGAGTGTAGTAGTCTAACATACAGATCTATCTGACCCACACTGGGTCAGATTTTCAGAGCTGGCATGAGGATCTCTGGAAGCAGAGTGAACTGCTGATAGGCAGTAGCACCAGGTATCTGGGTACCTGGGTTCCAGTCCCAGATCTGCCACTTCTTAGCTGTGCAGTTGACCTTGTACAAATGGTTCATCCTCTTGGAGCCTCATTCCTTATCTGGAAAGCTGGAGTCATAGCTGTTTTGACTACCTCCCAGGGGAGCATCCTGATCTGGGTAGATCGTGAGTGTGTAAGTGTGTTGAAAACAAGAGCTCCATACAGATGGTAGTGCTTATCACTAGTAGTGACAACTTGGACGTTTTCAGTAGCTTTCCCTTTGTTCACTGGTTATACCGCAGGCTCAGTGCCTTCCTCAGAAACCCAGCTAGTCAGTCCAGGTTGAGGATAACTTGGCTGGGTGAAGTTAGGCCTGGTTTTGGAGGTGAATTTGTCGGGAATCATGTTTTGCAGCTGAAAGCCCAACATCAGTAGAACTTTCTGCAGTTTGATGCCCAAATCACCGCACCATTTGCATAAATGCAGCTGGAGGGAGGTGATGATTTGGAGAGAGGAGAAAATATAGCAGAGGGAGGAGATTGTGCTTCAAAAGGGAGGCCCAACAAGGCCTGAGTAGTGTTGCTTGGCCTCTTCCTCCTGACAGTTAGATTTTGGGATCAGGCTCTAAGCACCACGTATAGCAGAGAACAAAAGTTTTGCCTGCAGTCCTTATGGAAACACATTTTTTTCTACTGGGTCTTTGTGCTCAAGGACTTTTGCTGTCAGGGTTGGGCTTGCTGAAGGATGACAGATATGTGCCGTTTACTGTGCTGGCTGCTCCTTAAATTCCATAAACAGCAAGGTAGGCGGGTTTTTATCATTGTCATCATTTTCCAAGGAGGAAATTGAGGTTCACAGAGGTCAAGTAACTTGCTTGAGGTTGCATGGATACTAAGATGCAGTGTGAGGATTTGAACCCTGGTCTGTTGGCCTCCCCTTTCCACTGTGCTTGCTATGTTAATGGGCCCTCCACCTACTGCCCCCTTTCGTTCTACTCCTCTGGTGCTCCACATTGGAGCCCCACTGTCACTGTGTTGGTGATGCTCTTTCTCCTATGGTTCTGCCTGCAGTCCTCTCTCCACTCCTCCTGGCTAACCCCTGCAGGCGACACTTCCCTTTAGATCTCTTGCAAGCCTCACTGACTTCTAGAAACCCTCCCTGCCAACCCTCACCCAACCCACGTTGCCTCAGTGCCTGGTAGCTCCCCAACTTGGCAGTTCTCTTGTTTTGACAACTGGTAGTACTTCCTTGGTTTCATGTGCTGTTATTTTGTCTTCTCAAACGCACCGTAAACTACTAAGCTTAGGAGTGGGTTTCTGCTTCACAAAAGAGCACTTGAACTTGGAGTCCTAAGGCATGGGTTTGAGTCCTGGCTCACCCCTCTGATATCTGGTTGGCATCAGACAAGGCCCTGACCTTCTTTGAGCCTCCCTTCCCCCACCAGCCCCATGGTGGTTCTGATGCCTAAACCACCTCCTTCATAGGGTGAGTGAGAGGCTCCAGTGTGGGCTGTAAGGAGCTATGCTGCTGTACCGGGCTGGCTGATCTTGTCCTTGTAGGCCCCTTCCAAAGATTCTAGCACTAACCATCAGTTTGGGGATCAGGAAGTCAGATGTTCACTACTCAAATAGAAACCTAGAGTGTTGGCTTTAGTGGGCACTTATCATCTGGCTTAAGTTCCTGATTTTATAGATGAGGCAACTGCCCAAAGAGTTTCCACTTGCCCAATTGTTTACGAAGTTTTATTTATGTGGGGTGGGGTGTTGAATGATCCCTCATGTTTTAGTTAACAACTTTCTTTTTTTCCTCTTCAAGGTATATCTTCTAATCACAGTGATGATTCTCCATATAGCTGGTCCTTTCCACCTTATCATCCCTCTTCCGAGAAGTATGAGAACACTAAGGTGAAGCTGTGAAAGGACAACTGTTCTGAGAAGGAACCGCTTTTTCCTTATTTAGCAAATGAACCATTGTGTGTGCTGCATGTTCTTTCAAGCTGGTTATACCTGGGTTTTGTGGGTTTTATTTGTGAAAATATCTTGACAGAGACATTTGTTAGGATCTTTAGAATTAGGCCTGATCAGAGGGTGGCTTCATTTTAGAAGCTTTTGGGTTCTCCTTGTTCTAGGCCCTTAGATTGTAGTGTGTCAGACCCATTTAATTGCTCCTTGGTGCTGACTCTGGATGAGGCTCTGAACCGAGGGTTGTAGGAGATGCTGAGGCACGGGAGGGAGAAGGAAGACCTGAGTCCAGGAGTATCAGCCCAGAATGAGAGAAAGGCATGCCACCTATCTGTCTCTGTCCCTCAGGTCCAATGTATATATGTTCAGCTGCTGAGACCTCTGATAGGGATTTTCAAATTTTATACCATTATGGAAAAAAAGGAATCTAAAAAGAAAGTTAATTTTGGTTTGAAAGAATCTTCAGGGCCGGCCCTGTGGCTCACTTGGGAGAGTGCGGTGCTGACAACACCAAGGGCACGGGTTCGGATCCTATATAGCGATGGCCGGTTTGCTCACTGGGTGAGCGTGGTGCTGACAACACCAAGTCAAGGGTTAAGATCCCCTTACTGGTCATCTTTAAAAAAAAAAAAAAAAAAGAATCTTCAATATGTAAATGAAATTAAAATCCACATTTAAGAAACTCAGATAACCAGCTGGAGAACTGAGAAATGGCATGCACCTCAAAGGTTTTTGGAGACATCGTGTGGGGAAGAGTGAGGATTTGAGGGTGGAGTGGAACATATTGTTCTAAATTCTTGACAACTTTCCATTTCAGAGTGGAGTGAAAACTGAGGGCTCTGGCCTTTGGCTTGTGACTTGAGTAGGAACAGAATAAGTTTGGAAGACTCCATTTCAATTCCTCAGTTCTCTGAATCTATCTTGCCACTTTTTAGTGGCCTCACTTACAAATGCTGGGCCCCTGTCCCCCTCCCACTCCCCCATTCCTTCTCAAAGTGGTGGGTCTTACTGTACCAAATTCCCCTTGAGTGCTGCAGGGCATGTATACGTAGGGTGTGAGCAAGTGGTCCGAGGCAGGTGCTGGACTATCCTGCCCTGGGGTGAGGTGGGCAAGGCAGGTTGTGAAAGGACACCACTTTTTGAGATGGAGCAGCAGCCAGCACAGCCCCTGTGTCTTTGTGATGTAGAAATCGAAACTGGCTTTGGCCTTGTGGCCAGCATGGCCACTTTGGGAAATGAAGCAATAGGCTTTTTCTGTGCATGGTGTAGCTTGTGGATCTGGAAATACCATGGACTGTTATCTTATCCAGTTGACTGGGACTGTGTCATTTACAAGCCTTAGTTTGTCTTTGAAATTTAAGACAGTTTTTTTTTTCTTTTCTTTTTTTTTATTAAGATATAATTTGTATACCATAAAACTTTATCTTTTAAGAGGTACAATTAAGTGGTTTTTAATGTATTCACAGAGTAGGGCAACCATCATCAAAATCAATTTTAGACCATTTTCATCACCCCCAAAATAAACTCTGTACCTGCTACCAGTTATTCCCCATTTCCTCTCAACTCCAAGCCTGTGGCTCTTTGTGTCTCTATGGATATGCCTGTTCTAGATATTTCATATAAATAGAATCATACGATATGTAACTATTTATACTAGCTTCTTTCATTTAGCATAATGTTTTTGAGGTTCAGCCACATAGTAGCATGTATCACTACTTCATTCTTTCTTATGGCTACTTAATATTCCATTATGCCACATTCTGTTTACCCATTTGTCACTTGAGGGATATTTGGGTTTTTTCCACTGTTTGGCTATTAGAAATAATGGTGCTATCAACATTCATATACAAGTGCTTTTGTGGACATTAATTTTTTTTTTCTTGAGTACATACTTAAGAGTGGAATTGCTAGTTATAGTAATTTGTTTGACTGAGGAATTGCCAGACTTTTCCAAAGTGTCTTCACCATTTTACAGTCCCACCAACAATGTAGGAGGGCTCCAATTTCTCCACATCCTCGCCGGCACTTGTTATTTTCCACTTTAAAAAGTTATAGCTATTCTAATGAGTGTGAAGTGGTATCTCATTGTGGTTTTCATTTGCTTTTCCCTAATGATTAATCATGTTAAGCATATTCTCATGTGCTAATAGCCATTTGTGTATCTTCTTGGGAGAAATGTCTATTCAAGTCCTTTGCCCATTTTTAATTGGCTATTTATCTTTTTATTGTTGAATTGGAGATTTTTTTTTTTTTTATAATTAGTTTACTTGGGTTTCATTTAATTAGTTATGACCTGGAGACAGAGGATTAGCAGCAAGAAGCTAAGTGTCAGTGGATTTCTGCCTAGAAAAGAAATACTTCTCTGTTTTAGTTCTACTTCTGATGTGCCTATTCAATCTAAATGATTTACATGAAGGGGCTGGTGATATGAACATTAAATCCGTGTCTGTAACCTTCATGATTTCTATTTCCTGCATTTAAAAAGCTCACATTATATATTTTGTTTTGAAAGACGTGCAGGGGAGAAGACGGAGAGCTACATGCCAACCTGCTTTGCCCTGTGGATGTGGTGGATGTGCCTGAGGGCACTTTGCCCGACAAACAGAGCACTGAGCAAGCCATAAGATTGTTGGAAAAGATGACGATGTCAGCCAGTCCTTTCTTCCTTGCTGTTGGGTATCATAAGCCGCACATCCCCTTCAGATACCCCAAGGTGAAGAGCTGACAGAGGACTGATCAACACAGCTGCTACAGCTGTGCTATATGTTGAAGGAGGGGTTTGTGTAGGGAAGGTCACCACATCCTGCCATCCCCAATCACCAGGCATTCCTCATGGGCACTAGTGTACTTAGTGGAGTGAAGATGGGATTCAAGGGTCAAGGCTAGGAAGTTGTCTCAGGACGTGTGAGAATCTTGTAAGAAATGCTTGGTTTTCCAGTTCCCTCCACTGGAGAGTTTTATTTCCTTTCCTTGAACTCCTTGAGCAAATGTGGGCTTCGATGATGAGATCATCATAGAGAAGTGAGACAGAGCTGGCTGCCAAAGCCTATAATAAGGGATGGTCCTTAGGAAACAAGTGTAGAGGATGTGTGGCCCTCTTTAACAACTGCCTTTCCGCCTGAGCTTGTCAGGTCAGAGCCCTTAAACACAAGGCCCCATATTGCTTGTTAGAATCCTGTGTATGCTTGTACACTATCTAGAGCATGGAGTGTTTTCCTTTTGATAATCTTTTTCAGTTTTTCCCTGTCATGTTTTCCCTGGGCCTAAGCAGCCTGTCCTTTTGTCTTTGCAAAGAATGTCCCTCACTTGTAATGAAAATAGACACCACGAGGTATGCTTTTTGATGCTTCCGGTATCTTGCTTTGCTTGGCCCAGGGAATCTTGCTTTCCTGGCAGAAGCTTCAGCCCCCTTGACAGGAGCCTGTGAGACTCTCTTCTCCCACCTCTTTGCAGAACAGTTAACAAAGCCGGCCTGAATGCCGTCCTTCGAAAGCCTGCTTGCAAGGTTGGCCCTTGGCTGGTATCTGGGAACTTTGATTTCAGAAGTGTTCCCACCATTCCCAGAACTAAGAGTGGCTTACTATGCCTAAACTGTTTAGGCAAACATTTATGCTGAACCCCTGTCTTCTTTCTGGGAGCCTGGAGTTTTGGTATGTTCCAGGCAGAGGGTACCTACGTGACCGGCCCCAAATACAAATTGGGTGCTGAGGCTTTAGTGAGCGTTGTTGGTTGGCAGCATTTCACGTGTGTTGTCACACAGCTTGTTGCTGGAGAGAAGTAAGTGTATCCTGTGTGACTTCCCTGGTAGAAGACTCTGGAAGCTTGTTCCTGGATTCCTTTCTACTTGGCCTCATGTGCCTTTTCCCTTTGCTTATTATGTTTGGTACCCTTTCACTATAATAAGTCTTAGCCATGAGTGTGACTATATGCTGAGTGTTCTTCTAGTGAATTAATGAACCTAACAGTAGTTTTGGGAACCCACAACACCTCTCCACACCTTTTCAAGTTGGGAGTGAGGTGGGGATAGGAACAGGACGGCATCTGTTTGTATGAGGGAAGAGAGCTGTCACTGTTCGGTTTGTAGGAACAGAAGTTGCATGATTTCATTGCCATTGGCATCTCCTGAGGATGGCCTATGGGCTGACTTCCAGGTGGGGGATAAGCACCTGGAGAGTATTAGTGAGCTGCCATGTAAATGCATCACAGGCTTAGGGAAAAGGCGATATAAACACTGAAGAGCCACAGTCTTGTGCCTTTGCCAAAAGAGTGACAACCTTGTGGCTTTGTGTGTTTTTCCCCCAAGGAGTTTCAGAAGTTGTATCCATTGGAGAACATCACCCTGGCTCCTGATCCCCAGGTCCCTGATGGCCTACCCCCTGTGGCCTACAATCCCTGGATGGACATCAGGCAGCGGGAGGACATCCAAGCCTTAAACATTAGTGTGCCCTATGGCCCAGTTCCTGTGGACTTTCAGGTACCAAGGACATACTTTGGAGACATATTAGGCACTGATGGCATGATGTCATCGGTGAAGTTAACTTTTCTCAGTAGACACTACCTCACCCATAATATCTTATTAAGAACTTTCTCTGTGCAGGGCGTTTTGCGAAGTGTCAGGGTGGGGGGTTGTCTGTAGGTATTTGGGACACAGGCAGTGCTGGGTGTATCAAGAGTCTCCCAAACAGTGTCTCAGCTTTCAAAGAAGGGAGCTTCCAGAGATTTGGTGACTTGCTGCAGGTGGGCATAGGGGTGGGATGTGGCCTGGGTGACCATCCCTAAGCCTTGGGGGATGCAGTTTAATCTGAGTGACAGTTCATCAGTTACAGGGTAGTAGGAAACTCCCAAGCAGACCAGAATGCTGGTTTGCTGGTTCTTGCAGGTTCCCTCTGTGGGAAAGCCTATAGTGGCACCTGTCACTCTCAGAGGGTAGTATGCTGAGTAGGGCTTGGTGTGGAGAGAACTGGAACACCATCATGGCCAGTGCTGTCCAGCTGTCATGTCTGGTGTCCCTTTGCCATAATGTGGGGACAGAACAGCCACCGAGTTACATTCCTCATGCTGATTCATCAACCACCTTCTCCCCCTGGAGAGTGCAGATGCTGACTAACACTCTTTCCAGAATATTCCACACTGAGCCCTGTGCTTCTCTTAGCACATGAATACTGTGACAGATAGGCTAGTGCATGGAATAGGTCAGTGTTTCCAAAGTGTGCTTTTGGGGACACCTGCATCAGAATTCCTGGGAGGGCATGTTAGAAATGTGGAGTCTTGGCCCACTCAGACTTAGGGAATTGGAAGCTGGCCGTGGGGCCCGAGATCCTGCATTTCCACAGAAAACACAACAAGTGATTCTAATGCACTCAGAAGTTTGAGAGCCCCTGCCATAGGGTATAGTTTAAAACAAAACAAAACAAAACAAACAAAAAAAAGATACCTCTTGCTTTTGGCTCCTGAGTTTACACAGCAAGAGTTTGGGTGGTGAGGGATGCCTGAGTTTCAGGTGGCAAGTAGGGAGAGTTTAGAAAACAACACATTTATCAGTTATTTGTTTCCTAATTTCATTGTAGTGGTTCCAATGGCAAGGTGGCTTGAATTGCAACTCTGAGGCTGTACATGGATGCCTTATTAGTGACAGTCAATTAAAATGACCCTTTAAAATGGACTGTGTGATGGGAAGGGTGCTGATCACTATGTGTACTATCTCCTGTGGCACCCGTGGGAACCTAGTGGGGCAGTGGCTCTCTGTTGCCCAGATGGGGAAACTACAGAGGTATGTTGGTGCGCCTCATGGCATAGATCGAGTGCCAGGTGGAGCCCGTTCACCCCCGGGGGCGGGTGGTGTAGCTCCAAAGCCCCATGGTTGCTTTTGTTCCAAATAGTCTGGGTTCAAATTCACTGTCTACCCCATACCAGCTGCATGACCTATGTAAACTCACTTTACCTCTCTGAGCCTCAGTTTCCTTATCTGTAAAATGGAAACAGTATGAGTAAAAGTTTTTGATGGTAACACCTACTTTGGAGGTTTTCAGCGACTACTAAAGAGAACACATGGAAGCACCTTGGATAGTGTCAACAGCATGAGGATGTCTCTTTCAGGTTCTTAGTTCCCTCTTCACAGACCTGTCCATTGGACACACAGTGGACAGCGTGACCCAGAGGGCCTCCCTGGCTTGTTTAGGTGCTAGTTCCTGCTCCTTATTTCCCTTGGACTTGGACCTCCTCACTGTCTTCTTCCAGCTTTGGGTGTCCATGTCCAAGCCCCATCTTGCTGCACTCTTGAGCCTCTCATTTCTGTGCTCTCTTCAGCCCCAGCCCCTAACTCAGCTCCATGTGAGCTGGCAACCTCAGGAGCCACACTCTGGAGTTTGTCACCTCCCAGGCCTGCTCTTTCTTGGTCACCACCCTGACCACAGCCTCTTCTCCTTGCAGTTTTCTTGCTCCATGCCCTCATTGTCTGCACACCTCATGGGGATTGCCAGAGTATAGACTCCTGTTCTCCCCTCTGTGTCTAGGTGGCCTCTTGGCTTTGCTCCTTCCCGACTAGCTAAGGCCTCGTAGCAGGTCATTTGCCGTTCTTGCCAGTGTCTCAGCACACTTGTCCATTATCCTTGCCCCTCCTGTAATACCCTGATCACAGATGGTCCAGTCACCCCCTCTGCTCTCCAGGCCGAGTCCTGGGGGCTGCTGGAGAGAAGCCATGTGGCCATGAGGCACAGAGGCCCTCAAATGCCAAGCCCCAGAAGCCCGTGTGTGCTCTGCTCAGCTCTTCTTGCTTGTCCTTTGCAGCTGTTCTGAACCTTCGCCACTCCCAGCCCCTGACACCCCTTGGCCCCGTTTCTCAGTGGGTGGCCACCCTTCCTGTTTTACAGATGGAGGTTGCTCAACAGCTAGAGGGAAGGAAATGTACAGGATGGACATGGGCATGGATCCTATCTGTGACCCTTGTCAACTGTGTCACTCTGGGCAAGTTAATTAACCTTTTTGAGCTTTGCAGTCCTTATGGGTAAGATGGGAATGGCAACACTCAACTTGAAGGGTGGTTCAGAGGATCTGATGGCACCTAGCAGGTACTTGGTAAATGGACGTTATTGCTTATCATTCTCACTGATAGTCCAGAGTTTTATGTGCACGTGTGCAGGCTCAAGGCCTTCTCCCTAGTTGCGGAAGAAGAGCAGCAGGGTCTTGACTCCCCACCAGTGCTCCTCCTTCCCATCTCTGTAGTCGAGCAAGGTCCTACTTCCTCCTTGCTGACTTTCCCTTCAGCCTCTACATCTGCTTGTGTCCTTCCCATCTTCAAAAGTACTGCCTCCCTGGACCCTACCTGTTTCTCCTCCCTTCCTGACCCCTCACCTGCCCTTCCAGGGCGAGAGAGTGAAAAGTGATCTGTTCTAGTTGCATCAATTGCATCATTATCCATCTGCTCTTCATCCTCCTCTGCTTGGGCTTCTGCCTCCCCAACGCACTAGTTCTTTCACCTGGGTCAACATTCACTTTGATGGCAAGTAAAATTCATCCTCATGGGTCCTGACCTTCCCTGAGCTCCATGCTGCTTTCTCACTGTTGACCAGCCCTACCGTTCTAGAAATGTGTGCCTCCTGGGCTTCCTTGCCAGCCTTCCTGGCCCTTCGGCTCCAGTCTCTGTGGCAGGCCCCTCTATCTGTGTCAGCCACCTAGGTGCTGCTCCCCAGGGTCAGCCCCAGTCTCCCCACTCTGTCCTTTCCACCCCTTCTCCCCAGCTGGACTCCTGTGAGCCCTACTGGCAGATGACTCCCAGAACTACTCCTCCAGCCTAGGCCTTGCTCCTGATTTTCAGATGGGTGTGTCCACGCATGCATGAGAGCCGTTCCCAGGAGAGCAACCATGGAGACCTCAGCTCCACAGGCCTCTGTGTGGTCAGGCCACCACCCTTGCCCTGCCTTTTCTCCTCCCTCCTCTTGTGCCTTCCCCTGCCCCCCACCCCCAGCGAATTATGCCCCCAGCTGAATGTGAAACCTAGAGTCACCCTTGGATTCCTCATCTCCTTCCTTTGCCCTGCTCCCTCTTCTTCCCCCCCACCTACTTGATCCCCCTAAATTCCCCTCAAATCCCCCCTGTCTTCTGCATCCTTCAGCATATCTTTCTGGACCACAAGGTGGGCCTTGCTTTGTTGGTGCTCAAGTGTGTTGAGCACCTCTTCTGTGCCCAGCAGTGATCTAGTGCACTTTTGTCTAAAACCCCTGGAGTCTGTGCTCCAGGCTATTGCCACGGGACTCTTACCAACCTGCAGCCCGAATTGCATCAACTCCTCACCTTGAAAGAACCCAGTGACTCTTTTGGCCTGCAGCCTGGTACCTCCACTCCGTGAATAAACCCACTGAGTTCATATTATCTGGCTCTGACCTGCCTTTTCAGTGTCCCCTCCAGTTTGGTTCTCTAGGCACATCAGACTGCTCATTAGGCCCAAATACACCCTGCTCTGTCATGACTCCACATTCTTCCACATGCCACAGCCCCTACTTAGAGTGTCCTACCCCGATTTGTCTGAATGCAAGCACCTTTTCTCAAATGCTAAATCCTCTGTGAAGCCTTTCTTGATTTCCACAGGCAGACTTGCAGACTCATTCTCCTGTATCATCCCTGGGCCCCACCAATAATGTGTTCATTTTCTTGTCTCCATGATTGTGTCCTCGCTGGACAGGTGGTTCATTAAGGGTGAGGACCCTGTCTGCTTTTTGCCTTATCTCCAGGTGCCAGCATAGGTAGGAGGGAGTATCCTTGTATAGGACACAGCCATACTGACAGGTGTCTGTGGTCTCCAGAAGGACCAAAGTTCCCCAAGTTACCAACTGAAGACTTTATCTACCAGAAAGTATATGTAGGCCAGGATTCCACATAATCATAATCCTTTAGAAGGTTAGATGTCTATCTGGTTAGATGTTACCACAAGGGGAGGACGGATGAGTCTCATGATTGTCCTCACCCTGACAGTGATGAAAAGAAGCTGGCGGTTGACCTAATAAGGCTGGGGCTGGTCTGAGAAGTCAGCGGCTCCCTTGCTTCTCACCCCTTGGTGGGGGTGGGGGATTAATTTTTTTCCTTAGCATTTGTGAACAAGGCTGGGGTTGGGTCAGCCCAGGAGGAGCTGATGGCTCCTTTACTTCAGGGATGGCCTGGCTATTCCCAAAGTCCCTCTTGGGTTTAGGTACTGAGGAAGGTATGCTGCTCATTGTTTCTCCATTGCTTTTCTCCTGCCTGCTGAGAGTTTATTAGAAATGAGCAACACATGACAGCCATGGTCCCTGAAGATGAGTACTTTCTGTCTCTTGCTGGGTGAGCAAGTGGTTGGAGGAAAGGCCTACTGGGGGCTGTTGCTGTGGGTTATTTGTGCTCCCCAGAGAGATACATTGAAGTCATAACCCTCAGTGCCTCGGAATGTGGCCTTATTTGGAAAAGGGCCGTTGCAGATATAATTAGTTAAAATGAGGTCATACAGGAGTAGGGTGAGCCCCTAATCCAATATGATTGGTGTCCTTATAAGAAAAAAACAGAAACACACAGAGGGGAGAAGGCTATGTGCAGATTGAGGCAGAGACTGGAGTGATGCAGCTGCAGGCCAAGGACCACCAAGGATGGCAGCCACCGCCATAGGCTGGAAGAGGCCAGGTCCTCCCCCCAGAGCCTTCAGAGAGAGCGAGGCCTGCCAACACCTTGATCGCAGACTTCTGGCCTCCAGAGCTGGGAGACAAGACATTGGTGTTGTTTTAAGCCTCCCAGTTTGTGGTACTTTCTTACAGCAGCCCCAGGAAATCAATCAGCTGAATATTATCTTTGGCATGATTCTCTGCAAAGCACGTGTGGGCCCATTGGTTTGAGGGACTGAGGGATCTGTGTCTGTGTACACCTTCATGTCCTGGGACCCATCAGAATATGTGAGGGAGACAGAAAGGGGCAGTAAGTGACACATCCATTTGCTGTGATCTGTACTCTAAAGTGAAAGCTGATTTGCTTCCAAATGAATCCTGCTTTGGGACCTGCAGGTTTTACTGGGACTGTGTGTGAAGATGTGCGCATGATAGCATAAGGAGGATTATAGCTGAGAAAGTCACCAAGGGCATCAATTGAGGGGCGGGATACTCAGGAGAACATTATCTCTGGGTATCTCATGGTATACCCAGTTTAGATTGTAGTCATGCTCATTATTTATTTTTTCTAATTTGCAGCGGAAAATCCGCCAGAGCTACTTTGCTTCTGTTTCCTATTTGGATACACAGGTCGGCCGCCTTTTGAGTGCTTTGGATGATCTTCAGCTGGCTAGCAGCACGATCATTGTATTGACTTCAGATCACGGTAAGCATGAAAAATGCCTGGTGAGTCACTCAGAGCATCTGAACCTTCCTGTGAAACATGCTTTTTAAACTTGCCATAAACATAGGCGTGTTCTCTTTGTGAATCAGCAGTGCCCCAAGTCAAAAGTCATGGGATGCTTTTATGATCAATTTGTCAGTCTGGGGGACCTCTATCTTGGATGATTGAGGGGTGGAGGTGGGCAGACTGGGGAGCCTTGTAGCAACCTTTTTTTTCCCTTGGTGAAAACAGCAGGAACCCTTCATTTGTGAGTGGGGGGGGTACTCTTTTAACCCCCATTTTTAACCTGGAAATTTAGAGAACTTCTAGTTTTTCCTGGGAGGATCCAGAATAATCATGGCAGAGCCCACCAAGGCCTTCAGACCTGGCTCCACCCCTCCATCACCATCTCTGCTGTCCTCTCTGCCAAGAGCCTGGCTTTCTCAAGTCTTTATCTCTTCTAAGGCTGTTCCCTACTTTTTTCCAAAACTGGAACTATATTTTCAAAACATTCTTTTTAATTTGAAAACTTTTCAGCACTCCCAAGAGTGGAGAATGAAACAGCGGCCCTCCAGCTCCCCACTCACAGTCTTGTTCATCTCATCCTCATGCTCTACCCTACCCCCAAGGCTGTTTTCAAACAAATCCCAGATGGTTCTTTCTTCCGATCACTATCTCTAAAATATATTGCCTCTTTTGAAGTATAATCATAAAGCCATTATCATACCTAGAAAGAGGAAAATAATTCTTTCATATCTTCAAATACGAAATAGAACAACAGTAAATTATAACATGTGCCCATCGTAAAAAGAAAAAAATGTATACCGAGTATAAAACACAGGCCCAGGATGTCCTGCCCTTTTATCCCATCTGCCCAGTGCTAACTAGTGCTGACAGATCAGGGCTGCGTCTGCTAGCCATTGGCTGTGCATGTACGTACATGAGGATATGTGTTATACATGTATATATGTGAGTAACGTGCCACATATCACAAGACACCATTGTGCTATGTGTACTCTTATGTTCCCTGGGTTTTTTTCCACTTAACAGTGTCATAGACAATTCTCTGTGTCATTTCTCACAGACCTACCTTTTCTCTTGCATCAGTCTGTGATATTTCATTATATATGGAGGTACCGTAATTTTTCACATATTTCTAATGATATGCCATCCACTTCCAACCCCTCTTCTCAGTGCTTAGTTTCCTCTTCTACTCTTTGCTCTGAGGCAGCTACAGTGGATTACAAATAGCCCATCTCAAAGTGCCTTCCTGGGACGTACTACGTCAGAACTACCTGGAAGCTGGTTTGTGTGCCGTATCTCAGGAGCCCGCAGGCTTGGGTGTGGGAGTGTGTGCTTGAGAGAGCTCTGGTGGTTCTGACGGCCTCTTCTCAAGTTCATATTTCTTGGGCTGCTCTTTGCTGCCACATTCCTGTCCAGATCCTCTGGGGCAGGACGCAGAAACCTTCTGAGCTGCCTATCAAGATAATCAGCCTCTTCGTCCTCCTCCTCTCAAGACAGATCCTGGGAGCTCACACAGGCACATGCTCTCCTTACCAAGTCTTCTTCATGAATTTGCTCCTGGTACAGCAGCACAACATTGATGAAAGCATTCTTGCAGTCAGGCAGTCCCAGCTATTTATTCAGTGTTTGCCGGGTGCCAGGCCTGTGCTGGGCATGGAGACTGCCTCTGCCTGGCGCTGGGTGGCCCACCATAGCCAGCAGAGGCCAGCGGGATCCCAGGGCCCATATTCGATGAAGCCACAGAAAGCCTGGCCAAGGGACCTTCATGACATCTGTGTGCACCCAGCCAGACTTCTGGGGGATGACTCTTGATTTCCCACTGCTGGGACCCTCCCTTTAGTCTTTTTAGGTTCCCAGAAGACTGGGGGCAGTGCAACCTCCAAGTTGGTGCCCTGGGAGCCCCCTGCATAACCCACCCACCCATTCCATAGCCCTCGGGGGGCAAGGCTGCTTTCTACTCCTGTAGAGAGTGGAGATGTGGAAGGTGGGGCTGTCCCCACCCAGCCCTTGGGACTGAGGGACTGTGGAAGCCACCCCACTCCCTGAGCTCCACCAAGCTCTGAAAATCCCTACCTAACCTGTGACACTGACAGCCAGACGGAAGGTGCTCACCAGATGCATTGAGCACCTTTGATGGGCATGATGCGTGCCTTGATTATTGATTGGTAAGAGGTGCCATCCAACTTGGGGTCTCCTCAGGTAAGTACCATCAATTCAGAACAAGATCCAGCACTGTTCTGGAGGCCACAGACCCCTCAAAGGCTTGGACTCCATTCACAGCCCCAATATCATCCATAGACTGCCTTCACAGCGAAGTCTCATGCTGTACTCTGCACGATCCGCTTTCAGATGTCGGCAGATGCAGCTGTGATGAATACAGTACATATGTACAAGGGCACTTCATAAAGTTTGTGGAAAAACAGAACTGAAAGATAATATGAATCTTTCCACGAACTTTTTGAAGTACATTTGTGTTTCAGTTCTTTGTTGAATCTACACACATCCCACCATGGGTATATATTCCTAGTTGCTTGTTAAAAGAAGATACTTTAATTTAGGAATTTAATATTATTTTTTCTTTTTCAATTTCTGGCCTTGATTAAAGCATAATCCAGGTGAAATTAACCTTTTTGCAGTAATTCTAGAGGAATTTCTTCTAGGTGGTAAGTTTTACTTCCTGTAGTTTTTACAACAGGAAATAAAATGGTGTCTAAAATAAGCCATGTTATGATTATTCATTTTCTGTCATTCTTTGCTTTTTATGAACTAGGGTGGGCTCTAGGTGAACATGGAGAATGGGCCAAATACAGCAATTTTGATGTTACTACCCGTGTGCCCCTGATGTTCTATGTTCCTGGAAGGACAGCTTCTGTTCCAGAGGCAGGCAAGAAGCTTTTCCCTTACCTGGACCCTTTTGATTCTCTCTCAGAGCTGATGGATCCAGGTATAAAATATGCTGAAGTAATATTACCTGACACCTTTAATTTACACATATGGGAACCAACTTATGGAATCATAGGCTGGGGGCTCACACAGACCGCCTTCCTCCCAGTGCTGGAATTCCTTCTTGACATTGTTTAGTCAGCATACACTTCCTGAGCACCTCTCAGGCTTTGGGAGTGGCAGAGCCAGAGCTGCAAGTATGACCCCTGTCCATTAGGAGCCTCAGAGTGCATAGTAATGAAGGAAAAGGTGGCATCCCAGGATGGGGAGGGGGCTGTTGTAGAGGTGACAACAGCGTGCTCCAGAGTTTAGAGGGAGGGGCTGCCCCCTGACAGTTTAGCAGAATCCTTTACCTGCACAACTTTTGGAAGGAACATTTTCCATTTTGGCAGCTCATCAATCTAGCGAATCACTAGATCTGTAAAATCTGCCAGGTGATTCTGCTGTGCCCTCCCCAACAGTGAAGGGCAAGTTTACTTTGACTTCCATGTGCCAGGCCTTCCAAGCTTTGAAAACAGCAGTGATGCCTCCTCCCCATTCCTCCACCAATACCTTTTCTTCTCTAAGCTGAAATCCCTAGTGCTTTAAGCATTTCTCACAAGGTAGTGTTTAGACCCATGGTTATCCTGGTTCCTGTGTTCAAAAAAGCTCTAGTTTGAGAAAGCACTTCCCGGTTGTATCTTGGACCAGATACCCCTCCTGCCCGCATGTGGTGACCTGTGTGGAGTGCTTTTTCCATGAACTCTGCTAAGCCAGGTTGCCCCCTTTCTGGAATTATGTATTTAAATCCATCTTTAACACCTAAATCCTATAGTTTATATTGATTCCTATTTAAATTTATTTTGGTTTTGGACTAACAGTTCTGGTTTTTCTGGACTATTCTGAGTTTGCTTTGTACTTCCCGGGTTTATTTTCTGCACATTTGATTTTTGCATGCTACCTGCTTTGTCTTCTATCATGGTATTGATAGAAAGGTTAAACAGCTTTAAGCCGTGATTTTAGCCCTTTGTTTGCTAAGAGAATCTTCTGACAGATTGAGAATCCTTTTTGAAAGTTTTGGTGGGAGGTGTTCATATAACTGTACTGTCATCCAGTTTATTTCTAAATTTTATCTCTAGCCTGTATCTATTCCTTGAACTTTGGACTTGTATTTCCAACAGCCTGTCCCACTTGGCTGGTCTAACATGCCTGAAGCTGAACTTCTGATTTTTCACCTTCAGCCTTGCTTTTGACACTCTTCTCCTTCTCAGGAAATGGCAATAGTTGCTTTTGCAAAAAAATAGTGGAAACATCTCATCCCCTGTCTTTCTCTCATTCTCCATGTGTGATGTGCACAGCTTCAGCAAGCCTGTCGCTCTCCATTCAGAATCTGTCCCTATTACTTCTAACCACTTCCACGGCCACCATGTCTTGGTGTATTACTGCAACACCTTGCTAAATGATATTCTTGCTTGTGCCCTGGATCCCATGGAGTTTTCCCTCCTCAGAGCAGCCCAAAGTAGTCCTGTTAAAACCCAAGTCAGGTCATGTTACAGTCCTGCTCAGGAGCTTCCTGTGCATCCATCTCTCTCTGATTAAAAGTCTTCACAATGGCTGACAAAGCCTTATGTGATCTGTCCCTCATTATCTCCCTGGCATTATCTTTTTACAAGTGTCCAGGCCAGTTGCCCTATACAATGTCCCACAGTCTGGATTTGTCTGATTGTTTCCTCATGACTAAATTCAGGGTAAACATTTTTGACAGGTGTACTACATGTGATGTGACCTCCGTTATATCACATGGACACTTCATGATGGCCTGTGCCATTATGAGTGGTGCTAAGTTTGATCAGTTGGTTAAGATCAGCCAGTTCTTGCCCTTGTAAAGGTATCCTTTTCAAAACTCTTTACTTTTTTTCTGTTTATTTTACTTACAAGTGTCTAGAAAATGAAACTAGACATTATAAAGTAATCTCTTAAAGATCCAGAAAGGCTGGAATGATAATACAAAGCCAAGATCAGTTTTAATAGGAATCAATTTAAAGTGCAGGATTTAGACTTTAAAGATGGATGAACTACAGTGAGATACCACTTCATACACATTACGATGGCTACTAATCAAAAAATAAAACAAGAAACAAGTGTTGGCAAGGATGTAGTGAAACTTGAATACTTGTGCATTGCTGGTAGGAATGTAAAATGGTGCGGGCCACTGTGGAAAACAGTTTGGTGGTTCCTCAAAGAGTTAAATGTAGAATTACAATATGACCCAGCAATTCCACCCTGAGGTATATGTCCCACAGAACTGAAAACATGTATTCAGACAAAAACTTGTACATGAGTGTTTATAGTAGCACTATTTACAGTAGCCAAAGGGTGGATGCAACCTAAGTGTCCATCAGCAGATGAATGGATAAACAAAATGTGGTCTGTCCATACAGTGGAATACTACTCAGCCTTAAAAAGGAAGAAGATCTGACACATGCTACAGCATGAATGAACCTTGGGTACATTATGCTAAGTGAAATAAGCCCCACACAGAGGACACATACTGTATGATCCCATTCATATGAGGTATCTAGAGTAGTCAAACTCTTAGAGGTATAAAATAGAATGGTGGTTGCCAGTTGTTGGGGAGAGGGGGAAAAGTGGAGTTGTCTAATGGGCACAGAGTTTCAGTTGTATAAAATGAAAAGAGATCTGGAGATGGATGATGCTGATGATGGCACAGTCATGTGAATGTACTTAGTGCAACTGAACTGTATACTAAAAAATGGGTAAGGTGGTAAATTCGTGTTATGTGTATGTTACCATAATAGAAAAGTGAATCAAATGCAAACATCCAGAAAGAAGCAATCTGTGAGGTTATATTGTGAGACTCAGTATATCCTGCTCCTCAACAGACTGTTACATAGTGGTTTTAACCTTAATTGTTGATCCTTGCCTGAATCATTTATTACACTTATTCCAAAATTCAAGTAGTTTTTAAAAGTGCCAACAGGCTTGGTGCAGCTTAATTTTGCCTCTTGCTATTTGATTGGATGAGTAGTTAGTGGAGGATGAGGTGCTGAGGTGGTGGTGGTCCTAAACTTCTTTTGCTAAAAATAAATGTTATAAATGAAATAAACTTGTGGAGCCCAGACACGTTTCTTTACTTACTCTGTCTGGCTGTAGTAGGCCTCCATAATGTAACAGATTCTGCTGTGTCCCTTCCTGTCTCAGGCAGGCAAGCCATGGACCTCGTGGAACTCGTGTCTCTCTTCCCCACACTTGCTGGACTTGCAGGACTGCAAGTTCCGCCTCGCTGCCCTATTCCTTCATTTCATGTTGAGCTGTGCAGAGAGGGCCGGAAACTGCTGAAGTATTTTCGATACCATGACTTGGAAGAGGATCCGTACTTCCATAGTAATCCCCGTGAGTTGATTGCCTATAGCCAGTACCCCCGGCCTGCAGACTCCCCTCAGTGGAATTCTGACAAGCCAACTTTAAAAGATATAAAGGTCATGGGCTATTCTATACGCACAATAGACTATAGGTATACTGTATGGGTTGGCTTCAATCCTGATGAATTTCTGGCCAACTTTTCTGACATCCATGCAGGGGAACTGTATTTTGTGGGTTCAGACCCACTGCAGGATCACAATATGTATAATGATTCTCAAGGTGGAGAACTTCCCCGATCATTGATGCCTTGACTTTTACCAACCACAGAAGGCAAATATCATGTGCTTTCTTCCAGCTGGTGAGAGAAGTTAGAGCTGGGTATTTTGTAATTACCCATAATATGGGAAGCAGCCTGAGGGGTAGGTAACCAAAACATGCAAAAACAATTTGGCCTAAGAATATGTAACACCCAAACCTTTTCATTGTCTTTATTAATTTATAATTGGTAATTGGACTAGGGCTGGGCTGCACCTTTTTTTGTCCTTTTTTTTTTTAAACAGTCATAGCTTATTTATTGCATGAGTAAATAGCAAGAGAACAAACTAAAATTATGTCATACCTTTGGATATAAGAACCATAATAACCAAACATAACACTATATACAAGAAATACTTTATTTGTGGAATTTAGTGCACTTCAAAATAACCATATCAAATTAGGTCCCACAGTAAGTTCCTGGTTATTTCGTTTATATTTTAATAATATGTCTTATGTAGCCCAGTATATTCAAAATATGAGTATTATATCAAAATATAATCCATGTTTCTTTTTCAAATATAAAGTTAATAATAATGCTAGAAGTTGGCATCTAAAAGTCTAGCTTTAATTTTTGTTTCTAAGACCACAGGATTTCAAAACCCAAAGATAAAATATGTATGAAGCGATGAATGTGGAATTTCTACACCAAATAATAAATAATGCTCAGTAAACTAGAGACATGAGATGTGTGGAAAATTTAGTTAAAACTTTTCAGATACTTTCTGGCCCAAATAATTTGTTAGCATATAATATGACCCTTGAACTCAATGGCCATGTATTAAAAGACTGTTATTCACAATGAAAAACACTTGGAATTGTAACTGTATCCATAGATTGAGTCACTCAAAATCATATTAGTGTTCTTCTTTAGGGAAAGTTGGTTGCAGACATTCATTTATCGAGGAGGCAGAAATATTCTACTTTTAACTGCTTATTAAAGAAAACATAATTTTATTAAATTCTAAATTATTTTGAGGATTGTGAAAACTTTTTATCAAGATAATATTAGGTAATTTTCAGTCCCCCTGAATGTAGTTTATACACCCTAAATGTGAAAGTAACCAGAAAGGCAGGTGGTAGTAAGAAGCTTTGTCTGTATCATCTTAAAAGGGAAGGAATGTTTACAACTCATATTTATAACACATTGAAGCTGATCAATTATCAGTAGTCATCAGAAGAGTCAGCAGCTTTCTAAATAAACATCTAATGAAGTCCGGTATCAAAATAAGTATTTTTTTTAGTAATTTTCTTTTTACAAAAGCTTCAGTGTTTCAAGGCAAATGTTTATGAAACAGTATACAGCAAATTAGATCGTGACTGTAGTGTGTTAAATTATAACCAAAAAGACAAGATATTACGTTAAAGTCAGTAAAATTTCAAAGATCTTTTTTAAAAACTGATTGGTCTATGATAGGTGTGTATATGGTACCACAGTGATCTTCTAAGCAGTTATGACACTAACTTATGGCAGCAGCAATTTCTGCTTGAGGAGGGAAAGGCCCTATTCATGTCTCCTGATCCTAGACAGTTTACCTCAGCTTTTTCTTTCTCGTTCTTCATCCTCTTTATTGTTCTCTCACATTCACTATGATTTTTACAATACAATCTGTAAATTCCTCATGACATATTTTCACAGTGTATTTAGCTTTATCTCCTACTCCACAGTTAGAATGATAAGTTTTAACACAGGTTTTTATCTCACATCCATTTGTTGCTCCTGGTGGGCTACAATATGTGCACCTCATTTTTTCTCACTTTATTTCTTGAAGCACAGTCTTAGTATCAAAAAGCTCCAAATTCTGCTCTTGATGAAGTTGTCAGCCGAACTGTGCTGGATGAGAGTAAAGTGACAGGCACCTGTGACGTGCACCTGCCATTTTATCAGTAAGTCTGTGATGCTTTCTTCCAGCTGCATTTTCTTCTTCACCCGTGTGACCAAAGCTGCATCTAGGTCTGCATCGGCTGCTTCTGTGTGTTGATTTGTCTCTGCTGGAAGTGCTTCTGTCTTGTCCTTTCTACGTGAGGGTGTAGCCCCAGAATGCTTCAGCTCTGTATAGGTTTTAGTTTTCCTTGGCCTTCTTTTCCAGATCTCTCCTTTTAGAAGCAAAGGCTGCATTTCATATTCAGTGTCATGTTCTTCTAAATCATCTTAACGAGTTATGATTGGTTTTTGTGTTTTTGACACTGAACCCAATTTAGAGCCATTTTTGTTTTCCTTTTGCACGTGTCTGACACACACCAGAAAGCAGCCACTTTCTGGTTTTCCAATATCAAAGCTAATCAAGTTCCTTATCTTGACTCAGCTTAGAGAAACCACATCTCTGTTGGTTCATATATCCTTTCTCTGATCCCACTGAGCTGGTCATATCTGGAATGGTTCTCAGAAACTTTATTTGTAGAAGTCCCCATTTCACTTGAACAGGGGTTCTTTTCTATGTTTTTGTTGAAGCCAGAAGTAGTGATCCCCAGACATTTTGAATGGCTCTAGTTCAGTGGCTCAATAACATGAGGATCAGGACCACCCCCACCCCAAGCACTCACTGAAACCCAGCGGGCTGGGCCCTGCCTGAGAGGTTCTGATTCAGCAGGGCTGGGTGGGGCCTGTAATTTGCACCACTTACAAACTCCAAGGTGGTGCTGCTGGTCCACAGACCACGCCTTGAGAACCACTGCCCTAGGTCTGTGCTGTCTATGTGGTAGCCACTATGTACATGTGTCTATTTAAAATTAACTAAAATGGGGCTGACCCCGTGGCTCACTCGGGAGAGTGCGGCACTGGGAGTGCAGCAGTGCCCCCGCCGCGGGTTCGGATCCTATATAGGGATGGCCAGTGCGCTCTGAGCGCGGTGCGGGCAACACCAAGCCAAGGGTTGCGATCCCCTTACCGGTCACAAAAAATAAAAATAAAATAAAATAAAATAAACTAAAATGAAATAAAAATTTAAAAATAAGTTTCTCAGACACACCTGCCATATTTCAAGTTCTAGGTAGCCACAGATCTAGAACATTTCCATCATGACAGGAAGCTCGATTGGACAGAGCTGAACTTCATTAACTCTGGATTTGAGCTGAATCCACTGGCTGTTGGCCAGTTCCACCTGTGAGATGTCTCTCTGCCCTGTGTTTGCCCACAGACTTGTCCAGAGGTGAGCAAAGTATATTGGGTTTAAGTGTAGAGTAGGGAGTTGACTATGGCAATCAGCCCGTTCCTCTGCATTCACATCGCCATTGACTCAGTCCTTCCCCCTTCCTTCCCAAGTACTTTGCCTACCCTCCTCGCTCCTCCCTTGCTCCTAACGGAATCCATGTGTCTTCCTAAAATGCCTCTTTGATCCTGCCCTTTGAGAACACCTTCAGTGCCTACTACTGGGTCTACACAGACCTCTGCTGAGCAGTCAGAGTCTTCCCTGACTCCACGATGCCCCTTTCCTTGGCTGACCAGTTTACCTACTGGTCCCTGACTCTCCCTTGCCTGTCCCTGCCTCCCTGCCCACTCCTAGGTATCCCCTCCCCTCTGCACCCACCCATTCATAACCATTCTTCACAGCCCACCTCCCATGCCCCCACCTCCAGGATGCTGAGGGTTTTGTGACTCCTTACACTATATTGTGGGGTGAAATGAACGTTTCTAAAGAATCTTGTGTTCACCTTACTTCAAAAAAGGTATTTTTCTCTAATTATAAAATTGATGTGTTAATTAGAGAAACCTGGAAAACAGAAATGTAGTACTAGGTAAGAAAATCCGTGAATATTTTACCCTGAGATAGTCACTTAATATCTTGTCTTTTTGGGGTATGAAGTTTTTACATTGTTGTGATCACACTATGTTCTTTATCATGCAGTTTATGTTCTTACTCTTGTGCTAAGTATTATGTGTGGTTATTACAGATTTTTGTAAAGATACTTTATATTGGTGGTAGTGTGTTTAATGTGTAATTTTATTGCAATTTACTTAACTTTCTTCCAGTTTTTAGAAATATAGATTATTTCTGAATTTTCAGTATTAAAAATAATGCTGTGATGATCACCTTTGTGAATAAAAATCTTTTTAAGTGTTTCTGATTATTCCCTCAGGTTAGTCTCTCAGTGCCACGTTGTCACAAACATCTCCATTTTGCTCCCTTTCTTACTCTCTTCCTACCTGCAGATAGGAAAGCCAAAAATAAACAAGCATACAAATAAAAATCATAAAACAGAAAAAAAAAAGACCACAAAAAAACCCACGCCCTACGGTAATAGGTGAAAATGGTATCCTGTTTTAACTTCTAATTCTTTGCTTATTGGTGACTTTGATCATTGTTCTCTCTGTACAATTGTTGGGCATTTGTGTTTCCAGTTGTGTGAATATGCCTTTAATAAATTTTGGTTATGATTCTCACTTTTTAAAGTAATCAAATAAATGAACTTTTCCTGTGTGATACTATTTTCCCATCCTTTCCTGTTAAACATGGAGACCCCTCCCCAATCTGGAGATTGAATAAAATTCATTTTCCTTTTCATTTTTTTCTGATTTGGTTTTGTACTTACCCTCTCTCTCTACCCCATTATCAGAATAATGTATGCTCATAGTGTAAAATTTGGAAAATGTGAAAAATGGTGAAGATGAAAGGAAGCCCACCCTTCAGAATATAGCCACTGGTAACATTTGTGTATTTCCTTCTACTCTTTTCCTGTCCATACATATATGCATAGATATGGACATTTTTATCTTTACATAGCTGAAACCTACCACATATAATGTATATCTTGCTCTTTTGATCTTATGTAATGTTCTCATGGTTTTTCATGTCATTAGCAGTTCTTGCTTAAGAGTTGTAAAGACTGCACTGAACTTCCTACATTAATCTTTTTATTTTTGACTGAAATTCTAAAATTTAATATGCATTGTTTATTTATTTATTTATTGTCTTTTTTCGTGTCCGGCAACGGATCGCAACCCTCAGTGTCGCGCCCGTACAGGACTGGGACCGGCAATGGGATCGCAACCCTCGGTGTTGCTCCCGCACCTCGCTCAGCCAGTGAGCGGGAACCGGTCTGTATGTGGGATCCGAACCCTCGGTGGGAGCGCCGCCGTGCTCCCAAGTGGTGCACTGTAGCAGTGCGCCACCGGGCCGGCCCAATATGCATTTTTTAAAACTGTGTTGAAATGCACATAAAATTTACCTTCTCAATCATTTTTAATTGTGCGGTTCAGTGGCATTAAATATATCCACATTGTAGTGCTACCATTGACATTATTCATCCACAGAACTTTTCGTCTTACAAAACTGAAACCCCGTTCACATTAAACACTAACTCCCCATTCCCACCTATCCCAAGCCTCTGGCAGCCACCATCCTACCTTCTGGATCTGTGAATTTGACTGCTCTAGGTTGCTCATGTAAGTGGAATCATACAGAGTTTGTCTTTTTGTGACTGGTTTGTTGCACCTAACTAAATGTCCTCAAGGTTCATCCATGTTGTAGCACGTGTCAGAATTTCCGTCCCTTTTAATGCTGGTTAATATTCATTCCGTAGTAGGTATGTACCACATTTTGTTTATCCATTCCTCCATCAATGGACACTTGGGTTTGTTCTCACCTTTTGGCTATTGCAAGTAATGCTGCTATTAACACTGGTGTACAAATACCTGTTCAAGTCCCTGCTCTTAATTCTTCTGGGTATATAACCAGACTA